GATGCGTTTTTCGTTGGGAGGGGGTTTAGGGTTTAGAATTAAGGGTCTAGGGCTCAGGGCTCCTAAGGAGCCACAATGCAGGGTTTCAGAGCTTCATAATGGGATGCTGGGCTGCAGGGGGATGTGGGGCGGCGCACGGTCCATGACGACCACGGCGGACGGGCCAATCCCATACCTGGATCAAGCAAAAACCCACTGGACCCCCAAACATCCCCCTCGCTCTTAGTATGGGAATGAGGGAATTCGGGCCCTCTATATGCCCGTTAAGGGATGATAAAGGGCCCTCAGTTCCATGCAGGGTGATTGGGTGATGCTGTTTTGTGGGTGGTGTGGTTAAGCCTTCAGCTTCCTTCCTCGTCGGCATCCTTGTCTCTCTTCCTGGAACTTGCAGAGTGTGGCAAGCGAAAATGGGCATCAGAACAGAAAAGACACAGGCAGAAGACCTGGAAGTGTGAAGGTAATGGGCAAGGAACATGTGGAGAAGGAAGGGCTGAGAGAAAGCAGGCCTTGCCGTCAGCACAGCACGATGTTTTGCCTAATGCCCCCTGAATCCCCCTGAACGCTGATCTTGAAGTCGACCGCTCCGTGGAGTAACTCCCTATTGCGGGATTTTAGGCTTGTAACCTAAGGGGCCTTAGGCTTCAGGATGCCGGAAGCAGCCGGAGCCCGGACCCGACTCCAAAATCCGCACCGGAGCACTTCACCAGGATTGTCTTCGCAAGCCAAGTGAGCAGCTGACAGCCCACCTGAGCGGGGCGGGCTCAGGGTTTAGGGTTTTAGGGTTTAGGGTTCAGGGTTTGGGGGGCTGGCCGTTGACACGCAGGAATCTGTACTTGCAGAAGTGCGTTTGCAAGGCCAGCGGGTTCATGGAGGATGTGCTTCCTGGCCTGCGCCAGGCTATGTACTCTTCGTGAGGCAAACTGTGAAGCGGTCTTGAAAGGTTTCAGTGACGAAAGAACATCCTTTGCGCCTCGCAAGCGAACCCTCATAGCACTATCCCAAGGTCGCCAAGTGCTAGGAAAGGACCTTGTTCATGCTTCCTCCAGTCCATGATTTCACGACTGAGATGCTAACTTCTCCCTCCCTCCCCCCCCCACCGACTTGCCGATGAAGGCAAAGGGTGCACCCTCGAACTCGCCTCCCTCCTTCACCTGGCAGGTTTTCAGGGTTTAGGATTTAGGGCTTAGGGCTTCGACTCTATCGCGGAGATGGGGCTCAACCTGGAATTTGGGAGGGGTACACCTACTGTAATGCTTCTTGTAAGGTACCTCGGTTTGGAAATATCGAGCACAAACCGGAGGATGTCTCACACCCTCTTGGGCCTAAACCTGACAGGTTCTTAGTAGGGAATGAAGGTCTTAGGTACCCAAATTAATCCCTTGAAGGGTATACATAGGGCCCTGATTCCCTCATTCCCTACTAAGAACCAGCCAGCAAACCTAAACCCCAAACCCCAAACCCCAAACCCCAAACCCTAAACCCTAAACCCTAAACCCTGACGTGTTTGGCCTGGTCCAGCATCGGTGTAAGATAGTCGAGGGCATCCTTGGCCAAAGCCTGCGGAGAGGCTTTGCTTCGTCACATGTCCTTTTTAGGGTTTTCGGTTTAGGGTTTAGGGTTTAGGGTATGAGGCCCTATCATCCCCACAATCAACCCTATAAAGGGCCTTTCAAAGCGGTTGTAGGGTATAATAGCCCGGCCTGGGATGGGCACTTTTTTCCCCAAGCAGCGTGCGCTCACTGTGGGTTCGAACGTTCAGAGGTCAAGGAGGCTTGGCTTGAGCTACTCGCGCTGCGTCCCGCCCCGCTCTCGTCCGCGCGTCGTGCGCATTCTGTGGCCCAACTCGCGCTTCCCACCAGTTCCGTGCAGCGCAAGCATGGCAGTGGCGTATTCTTTTCTGCCCATTTTTTGGGGGCTGTCGGATGGCTTCGCTTCGTGCAGCGCGTTCGCGCCTTGGTCCCATGCGCATGATCCTCGTGGAGTGCAGAACTTTCAGCTTTTGTTTTCGCTCTTCTTGGGGAGTGGTCTTGGCATGCTTTTGGAATTTGAAGCTTCGGGTTTTGGGTTTTGGGCCTAGGGTCTTAGACGCTGTTTGGGTCGACGCCGGCATAGTCGCTGTAGGCAGTGTTGCCCACAACATGTCAAGCCTTTGGGTCCAAACCCCCTGCCCTATGCTGCATCTGAATGCAACACACTGAGCATCCCCATCCAAGCATGGTATATGGCAGCGACAACCGCTTCATTGCCTCGAAATTCTCCGCGAACGGCTCGCCCTCTCGAGTGCCATGTCCTGCGAGAAGCTTGTTGTTCTTCAGAAACAAGTAAGAGCCTCGTGCTGCCCGTCACGTGAGTTTGGGCGATTTCCCCTGAAACCCTCCTAACTACGACGACAAAGTCCTGGCCACTCGTAGATGCCAACTTCCATCCACTTCGGCACGCCAATGAGCCTGGGCATAATGGACGGGACCAATGCTTGAGTCAGCAAGTTGCACCTGGCACCTTCATGGCTTCCATCAGCCCCAAGGTTTTAAGGCTTGGTTGGGGTGGGGGGGAGACAGGGCGGCAAATTCTGGGGGGGTGGCGGCAATTGGGGAAGCGATCTGCGCATGCTGTCTCCCAATCCCAGCAACGCAAATCGGAACTCTTCGGCGAGGTCGCCGGGGCCATAGAAGATGAAAGCCTCGGCTAGTCGAGGGGTCTGGGGCTTCATAGAGCTCCAATTGAGCGTTCGGTTTCAGCTTCAATATCTAGGTACAGTTGGTGCGCGCTGTCGTTTCGTCTTGCGGTTGCTCTGGCAGCCACATGCCCCAGCAGAGACTTGCACCGGAAGGTTGACCTTCAGCATCCCATTCACCCTAAACCCTAAACCCTAAACCCGAAACCCTAAACCCTAAACCCTAAACCTCCTCAATCTTGACAGAGGACCACAAAACTCCATAACCTTCAGTCGAAGCAGCTCTCATCTTGATTTGCGTGCCGAGGGCGTAGATCTGATCGATCTGGGGAAATCCCTGCTGCAACAGGCTGTGCAAACATTGGTGGATCCAGAGTTCCCAAGCTCAGGAAGTCCTAATGAAAGTTCAGGATTTCGGGTTGTTTGGGCTTCGTTCGGCTTTGGCTTCTAATGCCAAAGGTGCCTTGGAGCTCCTTGAAGCCTCCATCAAAAGCTTCCTTCCAAACATCCTAACTTAACAGTTTTGCAGTCTCGCAGTCCTCAACAACAGAGGCCAGGGGAGGTCAAACGGACTTAGAACAAACAGTGGTGCTGAAAGGGGCTTTGGGGACTCCTTGGAGAACTTCGTTTCGGAGACGACACGGGCAGGTTTGGCGATGGGTTTTTTTCTGGGAGAGCGGCCATGCTCGGCGCCATGGGTCAAAGCGACTGCTGAGGCGATTTAGGGCCTTTTTCGGCTTCACTGGAGGTCAAGTGGATGATGAGAAAAAAAAGAAAAGCGTTTTCCGCTTCCCGAGAAACCTTGTTGCGAGGCATGCCCTTCAGCGAGCCGGAGAACTTCTTCAGTTCCTCGCAAGCTAGCAGAAAAGGAAGCACGAAACTAACTTTGCAACATCCGGCTGAAGCTGCGCACGATAGCAAGCATGCAGATTAAGGCAAAGGTCATACCGTGTCTTCAGCTGGCACCTAGGGTCCTGCCTGATGCAAGCAATTTGAAGTGTCCGCCATAGCCGCTCATAGCGACCAAGAGGTACAATATATATATATATATATATATTTGTACAACAAATGCGCCAATGCAGTGCTTCTGTAGGCACTGAGTGCATAGCTGGTCTTTCAAAGGTGCCTGTTTTTTCCCAAGAAGGGGCAACTACCCATCTGGAGGAGGTAGGAGGTGGGATTGGTCTCACCAGCATCTTTGTTCGGGCACACACCACTCTCCCCTGTGTGCCCTTCCATTTGTCAATGCATCACCGGATGGAGTTCACAACGCTGCTTGCATGTTCTTTTGCCGGGATGTCCATTTCCCAAAATAGGCGTACCCCGAATATACCCCAAATACGATGATCCGTATCTATAGGAATCCCCCAAAAATCACCCCCTATTTTCGGAAGCCCCCAGATGTCCTTCTTGGCTGTCGTGACGCCGCTGAGGTTGGCCAAAGCCTCCGTGTCGCCTTCGGCAATCCTGGGGTAAGAGTAACTACAGACAGCGTTTGGGGCTTCAGGGATCAAGTGAACGTGTGGCTTCAACATCTTGGACAGACATATTCACACTACAGCTGTCCATAGTCCGTCGTCCGTCAGTCGTCGTAGTCCGTCGATGTCGTCGACGTCGTTGTTGTGGTAGTAGTAGCAGTAGTAGCAGTAGTAGCAGCAGTAGCAGTAGTAGCAGTAGTAGCAGTAGTAGCAGTAGCAGCAGCAGCAGTAGTAGTTTGCCTTTCCAGGCTTTCGGAGGCGAAAGGAGCGACGCTGTGTTGCCCTGGCCTTGATATGCTTGCGTTCAAGTTTTGTGAGCTGAAAAGCTTCTCTCTCTCTCTCTCTCTCTCTCTCTCAGTCAGGCATTCGAAACGTCAAGCCTGCCAGGGACAGCTCTCGTGAGCGGAAAGCTTCAAATCCCAAAGCCCGAAAAAACTAAAGCAACAGGAAACCAAGTGACTTTATGTGTCTGATTTTGTAGGAGACTGAGTCTGTGAGTTTTCTTTGCAGATGAGAAATTCTTGCGTGCAGAATGTTCGTAGGGTTCAGACAGGGATCTTCACACAATGCGCTTCGGCAAGGTTCGAATACCAGATGCCAAGATGACAAGGTAAGCTTAAGCTTGAACTAAATGAACTTGATGAAACAGGAAACCTCTGCTCGATGGCATCGTCCAGGTCATCGAAGTCCATGTTTCGCAAAGGCGACGCAAAAACAGCTCAAACCGATGCTAAATTGCTGCAGCAGAAGTGGCTTGAAACAGGTCGCAAAACACACTATCTGACATGTCGAGGGAGAGAAGTAGGGTGCGTGTGTTGCTGTGGCTGTCCCCTCACTCAGCGCGGCACTTTTCCGTGGAAGCTGCGCGCCTTACCACAAGCTTCAATAGCCTCAGGGCATGACGAGCACAAGCTTCCTAATCAGAAAAGAGATTTAGCAGTAAGCCCTACTGTAGAACAGCGCTGTATCTTCAAACGGCCGTCAGGACCTTGGGGTGATGTATAATAAGTTCTGCATCCGTGGGTGTGAATTTTCGACCAGAGACAGAGAGCTAGCGAGCGAGCGAGCGAGAGAGAGAGAGAGAGAGGGAGACAGAGCTAGAAAAAAAGAGACAGCGAGAGAGATAAGGGGGGCAACCCTAAACCCTAAACCCTAAGTCCTCTCTTTAAGGCGACCCGAAATGTTGAAACCAAAGCAAGACCTCTCGAGGCAGATGTTGTTGAATGTCACGTTCTGAGCCCGGAACGCCCCAAGGAGCCCTCTGTCTGTGTAGCCCTAAACCCTAAACCTCTCTTTCATAAATAATTTAAATGTTAAGGAGTTACTGCGCAAGGTCATTTTTTACTGGGCAAGGTCATTTTTTTACTGGGCAAGGTCATTTTTTACTGGGCAAGGTCGTTTCGTCCAAAAAAACGACCTTGCCCAGTAAAAAAATGACCTTGCCCAGTAAAAAAATAACCTTGCCCAGTAAAAATGTTACTGGGCAAGGTCATCTTTTTACTGGGCAAGGTCATCTTTTTACTGGGCAAGGTCATCTTTTTACTGGGCAAAGTAGTTTTTTTACTGGGCAAGGTCATTTTTTTACTGGGCAAGGTCATTTTTTTACTGGGCAAGGTCATTACTGGGCAAGGTCATGTTTTTATTGGGCAAAGTAGTTTTTTTGCTGGGCAAGGTCATTTTTTTACTGGGCAAGGTCATTTTTTTACTGCGCAAGGTCATTTTTTTACTGGGCAAGGTCATTTTTTAACTGGGCAAGGTCATTTTTTTACTGGGCAAGGTCATTTTTTTACTGGGCAAGGTCATTTTTTTACTGGACAAGGTCATTTTTTTACTGGGCAAGGTCATTTTTTTTACTGGGCAAGGTCGTTCCATAAGTGAAATATTTTCTTAATGTTGTGGGATTCTTCGGGCGGGTGGGTATTTTTCTGGAGTAATAATTTCTTGACTAGTGAATGCTTGAACTTGAGATGCTGAAACCCTAAACCCTAAACCCTAAACCCTAAACCCTAAACCCTAAACCCTTTGAGCAGTCCCCAGGCGCTGCTTGTTCCGGCACTCCTTGAGCATGATCTCTGGATCTGAGAAAGAGGGGAGGAGTAGGGTGTAGGTGACACACACCCAGCGGCACTCTTGCGTTGCGGTTTAGGGTTTAGGGTCTAGCCTTTGGGATGTTCCTCCAGTCCTGAATAGGGATTGTAGTATCCCCCTACTATAATCCTATTAGGGACTGTTAGTATAAGGGGGAACATCCCAAGCTTGGGCTATGATACCCCGAAAAATCCCTTACAAAGGGCCCTTTTGGAGGGTTGACTATGCGAATTATATGGCCGAAGAGGCCCTTTTTAAGGGGTTATAAGGTACTAGCCCATCCAAGTGGGATTATTTGGATTTGACGACTTAGTATTTCAAAGGGGTTAGGGCTTTGTTCAAGATTTAGTATTTCAAGGCAGAGGCGGGTTTTGTGCTAGCAGTTAGAGCTCCAAAGAAGCTTTGCGAAGTAGGGGCTTGGGGACTTTGGGATTTGCAGGGTTAGAGTTTTAGGGTTGAATTTTGAGGGTTAGGGCTTAGTGGCTATAGGTTTCAGGATCTTGGTTTGAGTAGGGCTTAGGTTTTGAGAACAAGGCTTCAAGACCTTGGGTTTTGCATTGGCTTCGGATCAAGTAAATCTTCCAACGCCTTGTCCTTAACCCCCGCAGCTTAGGAAACGCAAGCCTGACATGTGCCATTTACACGCGATGATGCCAGAGCTTGTATAGTCTTGCATTGCCACATACCAGAGGCTCACATTCTCAGGAGTAGAGTTGAGGTTTTCGGCGTTTAAGATTGCAGGCTTCAGGGTTAGGCTTTCGGATTCTTTGGATTTCGCGACTTAGTATTTCAAGGGGGCGGGGCTTTGTTTCAAGACTTAGTGTTTCAAGGTTTTGTTTTGGCAAGGTCCAGGGCCCACGGGCCCACGGGCCCACGGGCCCCCGGGCACGGGCCCGCCCGCCCAAAAGACCATGCCCGCTAAAGGAACCCCGGAAACGACATTAGCACATCAGTCAGGCAGTAATTCGAAGAAAAAAACCCAAAAAAACTAAACAAGTCCGCCAATCCTGCTTCACATGAGTGGGCCTTCGGCTGCGTTAACCCTGAGGATTGTGTCCCCGGGTCGCAGGTCTCGGGCAGAACCTCGTGCAGAAAGTCGATGGGCTTCAGAGGCTTCTTATGTAGAGCTTGGGCCTATGGCTTAGGGCTTAGGGCTTCGGGCTTCGGGCTTAGGGCTTAGGGTTTGGGTTTAGGGTTTAGGGTTTACGGTTTAGGATTTAGGGTTTGGGGTTTGGGGTTTAGGGTTTGGGAGATTCCTGGGCTTCGGATGGCGTTTCGGAGTGTAAGGGTCTACATCGGCTTCCACTCTCCCTGAGACAGTCCAGGTGAGACTCCTGCATTCATTCCGACAGGGTCTGATGTAGAGCTCAAGTAAGTAGGGATAGGTAGGAGCCTAAACAGTAAACCCTAAACCTTAAACCCTAAACCCTAGACCCTAGACCCTAAACCCTAAACCGCGTGCTGAAGATACCGGGGTGGCACCATGTTATCCTAACCCGTGTGCCAAGTTGCTGCTGCCGGGGTCCTGCTGCTTGTTCCAAGCCTCAGGGGCAACTCGAGGTTTCATGGGTTTAGGGTTTAGGGTTTAGGGATGCTCCATAAGTCCTCTAAGTAGGTTAGAAGTAGGCTTAGCACTTATGATTGGGGTTATAAGCCCATGATCCTCCAAGCAGGCACACGCCTCGGCGGCGCCCCCGGGCAGGATCGCCTCTACGAGGAGACCAGGCCTCAGCGAGAAAAAGATTGGGGGGGGGGGGGGGCGAAGCTTCTCCATTTCTTTTCCGGCTTAGCGCGTAGATCTTCTGGTTTGCCACTGACACATGTGAAACCACATTCCAGAATCCCAAGCTTCTTTGTCGAGTTCTTGGCAGCTTAGCCAGACTTCGGCGAGAGCCCTGTACCGAGCAAGTCTCAAACCTGACCCGCAGCTCAACACCAGTGAGCCGCCCAGGTCCTTTGAGCCCAGTAGCTGATTCCGTTCCGATGCCACGTCGAGGCCTAGGTCCGTGTTGTCTGCCTCCGGGCAGGCCGAGATGATGGTGTGCTACCTGCCACCCCGAACATGACATGCCTGCAGACGTTGTGTGGAGGTGTGTGCTAAGTCGGCCTTGCTCGTCTGGGCCGCCTGCTTTTATAGCTAGACGGGATCATGCCCCAGCCTGCTGTGGGGTTCATTGCCAGTATTGTGGGTGGGGTCTCTCTGCAGGACCCATGGCGATCTTCATGGTCCTGGTTTAGGCCACGATCGGCGGCATGCCTGCGCTAGATCATGTAGATCCATGTAGTGTAGAACCGACGGGAACCTGAATGGGCCTGTGGAGTCCGTGTCTAGGTATGTAATTAGGATCCAAGGTCTGGGTCGGGTTCACTATTCCAAAAAGTCTACACGGTCGGATTCGTTGTCCTGGCTTGAATAGGATCGACCTGCATCCTACCATGGGCGATTGTGAAAAGGCGGTGTTCATGAAATCATGTATGGCATTCGAAGTCGTTAGAGTCATTATAATAGTCACTGTCGTTTTGTTTCTTGCTTCCTGGTCAACTCCGAAACTCATTCCAGAATCGGCCGCGACCGCGACCTTGCGTATGCTGAAGCTGAAGGTCACCGGCGTCTGGCTTTCGGCCTGAGAGTGCTTGAAGATGTCAAGTTTCAAGTTCCGGAATTCAGGGTTCGGCGGACGGTTTAGGGTTTAGAGTTTAGGTTACAGGGTTTAGAGTTTAGGCTTTAGGGTTTTTAGGGTTTAGGGTGCTGTAGCCGTGCTATGTACGGTTGCTCGAGAACCTTCGACTCTGGAGGCTGAGACCGCAGCCGCAACGGAAGTCACTGCCGCCTTCGCCGGTCCTCCACCGTCAGACGGGTGCTGAGTGTTTCAAGGGTTTGGTTAAGACCCATATGGGGGCATCCGAAGTTCGGGGTACCTCATTGGGGTCCTCAATATAGGGGAATCCTACTATTTGGGAGGGGTCCCTTATTTTCGTAAAACCCCCCATATAAAGTTTGGCTCTTGTACTGGGGGCAGGCCAACAATCCTCGAGCAATGAGTCAAGGCTAGTAGTTCAGGCTGAGAACTTGCAGCTTGCGATCTAGGGTTTAGGTTTTTTTGCCATCAGCTGGGGTTTTTGCCACCCGCCTAGCAGACCCCAAAGGGATCACTCCGCAGGGAACAACCACGTATGCCCACATCAGCTGGGGTTTGGGGTTTAGGGTTTAGGCGATGAAACCTTGGAACGCTTAAAGATACTATATGGCGATATATACATACACATATCTATATATATATATATAGACATTGTGAAGAGCTGAAGAAGTATGTGCAGCTTCAAGAACTTCTGCCATACCAACAGCTCCTCCCCATAGACTCCTGACACGGCATGAGCCTCACATACTTCGGAACATGAAAGCAGTTCATTTTTGGAACAAGATGTTGATACCTCTGCTACTCCACAACTACTTTCTAGATTAGAAGGCCTAGATCACTGTGATATTGCTTGTTTAAGGGAGAGTAGCGCCCTCCCTCCAACAACATCGGCCGAAGCAGCTCACAATTCCTGCCGAAAAAGCCCGGCTGGTAATACCTACCTCCCTCTCTCTCTCTCTCTCTCTCGCAGACTCGGGAATCCGTCAGCTGCCGTCTGCAGCCCGATAGGCAGTGCTCTCTGAGCAACGCCCCACCGCCCATGTTAAGCGGTGCAATCCAACTACAGACCATAAATAGTGTTAACCCACGACTCAGGAACAATCTCCAACAAGATGACAGGAACCAACTCACGACACTCAGTGCGATTGACATATAGCGCATGCTTGCTGCACACTCAACTTGGTTTCAGGATGTGAAGTCTCAGAGAACAGCAGTTGGATCGTGAACAAAGGGCGCGTTTGTGACATTGCATGCCAACGGCAATGATCCTGGATAGCCGTCTCCCATGTCCCTGAAACACTATGTTGCATCCAGCCGTGCTCCGGTTGCAACCACTTGAAGTTAATACAGTCAGGCGTTTGGACTACAACAGAGGTGCCGAACCAGGACACGTCGTGAGTAAAGGCATGGTTCCAGCGACTCCATGTACTCGCCTTCCCTTCCGGAAGAAGACTTGGCACAGGAATTTGATGTGCCTTCATTACTTGAGGCAAATGTTCAAACCAGTCCTCCTTGGTCCAATAGAGATTGTACAATGCCTCTACATCTTCTACTTGGTAGCCGATGGCCTTGAAGGTAGATACAAGCCAGCGTCCTCCCGTGACTGCCCTTCCGCTTGGATTCAAGGGCAATAGATTTGTTTGGCACTGGTTTGGCCACAGCCTGGCCCCTTTCACGGGAGTCCTGTATCTGGCAAGGCCGGGACCACAGGTGCCGGCCTGCCAAGGCAAGGCAAGATTCGAATTTAGGGTTTGGGGTTTGGGGCTTAGGGTTTAGGGTTTGGGGTTTAGGGCTTAGGCAAACACAGTCTCACACACTCTGAAAAAGTTGGATCTCTGCATAATACTACTCGCACTTACCCTAAACCCTAAAAAGCGCCCCTCCCCCCCCCCGGCTTTCCAGCCGCTGCTGCCGCAGGTGCAGCAGTGCCAGCGTGGTCCGAAGCCTGGCTGCAGCACATGTGGTACAGTTAGGGTTTAGGGATTAGGGATTAGGGTTTAGGGTAGCAGACTCTGTGCACGAAGTCAGCTGGAAGACTGCAGCAAGATGCTTGATTCCAAGACCAGGGTATCTTGCAACCCTAAACCCTGAACCCTAAACCCTAAACCTTATTAAACCCTAAACCCTAAACCCTAAACCTTGAGCTTCCAAGCCGCCTGTGGATTGTCAACCGTCAGGCTCCGCAGCACACCTGGGAAAGTGGGTAAGCAACCACGTGTTCAAATACACATCTACTTGCAGATCCGGCCCTCTAAGTAGATAAGTAAGAGCCCTAACCCCTAAACCCTATACCCTCAACCCTAAACCCTGAGCCAATTGCAATAACCATAGATGCCCAAGACCTTAGACCGAGCACCTGCACAGGGATCTCCACTCCGGCTACAGTGCTGATCACCCCATGGCCAAGCCGACTGCTTAGAGGCTGCGTACCCTAGCCCAAAAAAGGTTAACCTTTTGAAGTATAGTAGGATTATATAAACCCCGAAAGGTTAAAGGTTAGCTACTCAGCTACTAAGACTGAAATTCGACCTTGTATGTACCTGGTTGGGAGAACCTACTAGAACGCAAGTTCAACAAATCACGCACATGTCCCGCAGGCCTCCTGCATTCATACGGCAGCAGAGCACAAAGCGAAACCCGAAAGCCCCTAAGCCGCTCCATCATAAGCTGCTCGGCGCCACACTGGTACCAATCTCACGAAGTGAAGCCAGCGCAGCTCGGAGCATGCGGTTCTCCTGTTCAGCTGCAGGAGCATGCTACGAGGTGACAGGGGACACTTGCAAGACAAACTTGCAATGCCAAGTTCGGCGCTTTGTTGCATGCAACTGGAATCTAGGCCTGGTTTAGGGTTCAGGGTTCAGGGTTTAGGGTTTAGGGAACCTCGACACAAGCCCCTCAGACTGAGGGAAGCCGTCCTCTTCCAGTGCTACAACTCGTCGCTCGAGGGAGCCCTCACCATGAGGCCACGGCAAGAGACTTGCTGGGGGTCTGAATTATTGGGGTCATTATTACGAGGGGATCCTACTAGTTGGTGGCCCTAGATTGGGGTCCCTTATTTCGTAAACCCCCATATCTGCCTAGCTGCTTTGGGCTTAAGGGTCAGGGACGAGACACCACCCGCAAGGGTTTTGCGTTGCAACGTGGGGGATGTTGGCACTTAGTTGGCAGTGATGAACTTTGTTTGCTGCCTAACCTGCTGGACAACTCTGGACTTCTTCCTTACCAAGTTCTTCAGGCAAAGACTTATGCCAATGCACTTGGCTTTACTGCACGAAGTGTTCGGATCTCTAGACCGGCGTCAACCCCCTGCCGCTCAGCCGTCTACAGTGCTTGTGGAGATGCTCTGGGAGTGTTTGTTCTTTGGGGTTTGTGGCGTTCGTACAACAGGGGATGCGAGTCAAGTCAGCACCTGCGGCTGCAGTTGGTATCGTTCAAAGCCAAAGACCACCAATCAAACCCAATCCCGTCCCCCTTCCCTCACCCCAACAAGCATTGGTTGGGTGCCTTGTCTTCAGGTGCTGAAGCAGCAAGGCGCGAAGCCTTGCAACGTTTCCGAGCTCTCACAATGCGAGAAGTTGCGTGGAAGCGGGCAGCGGATCCTCCAGATTCTCAAGACGGGCTTAGGGTTTAGGGGGTTTAGGGGTTTAGGGGTTTGGGGGGTTTAGGGGGTTTAGGGGGTTTAGAGGGTTTAGGGGGTTTTGGGGGTATGCGACGCGAGACACCCGCCTCTACCTCGGGCTCTGCACCGTCAAAGTGAACCTGCAGCAACGTAGATGCAGCTGAACCATGTCCGACAGCCGGGTAGAAGCAGCTCTAATGAAGCAACCCGTTGGCTTCCAGACGGTGTTGACGGGACACCTTACCGCACCAAAACGAAAGCAACCGGACTAACCACTGCCAACTTGTCAGACCTCCCATCCTTGACCCGAGACCTGGCGACAACATGCGGCAACAATGTTAAAACGGCTTACTGTGAGACTCTATGCCCTGAACCCTAAACCCTAAACCCTCAACTACCCCACCCCCCACCCCCCCCCTGGGCGAACTGCTGCGGCGCTGGAAGGTGGGCCGATGGGGTTGAGAGCCGCAGCCTCATGGTTGCTGACTTGACTTGGGCACTGCTCTGAACCGCACGCGAGCCCTACCCTACAAGGCTTCGGGTTTAGGGCTTCGGCTATTCAGAGCTTCGATATGGCCTCCCGGTGTTGCTGGAACAAGCTGTGAGGCTGTCGAGTTCGGGTTGCACCAAGAAGTCAGGCCACCCTATAGGAGCATTTCCAGGCTTAGGGCCCTTAAGCATCCTTAAGCATCCTTCAGCCCGAAGCAGCCTTAAGCCCTAAAGGCCTAAACCCTAGACGCTAAACCCTAAACCCTAAACCCTAAACAACCCGAGAAGCCCAAAATTAAACCCTCTGAGTTCCCCCAACTTCGCTTCGGCCCTTTGGATGGCCTGACAGGGGGCCAGGCGGCATCGTTGCTTGGCTGGGCTTGTCTTGTCTTCAGCAGTTCTTCAGCCCCTCACCACGGAGGTTTAGGGTTTAGGGTTTAGGGTTTAGGGTTTAGGGTTTAGGGTTTAGGGTTCTGGGCTTAGGGTTTCGGGTTCAATGAAAACAAGTGCAGGGCAACTGCCTTTACAGCGGATGCAACTGGCTATGGCAACTCTGCCAGCAAAGCGTGAGATGAGGTGATCTGGGACAAAGCCTGCTCATGGTCATGGTGAGCTAAATGCTTTTCTTGCCCGACTCCGCAACCCAAAGAGAAGCCTCGAAGCGCTCCAGCGTCCAAAGCACAGTACACTGAAAGCACTTTGCTCCAGTCCATGCCTTCGACCGCCACTTTCAGCGGTTCGGAGGGAGTCTCGGAGGACCACAAGGGCCCGAAGCCATTGCTACCTCGAGCAGTTGAGCGAGCTGAGCCTAAGTGGAACCCCAAAAGACTCATGAAGCTATGTTAAACCCGATTTACATCAGCCGCCAAGCATCCAACAGCCGCGAACCGCAAGATCCTCAACTCTTACACTCGGCTTCATGTCTGAACATTTCGGAGCTACACGAGCTACTTGGAGGTTCATGGTACATACTAACCCAATAGTAATTGCACTTCTAACCCCTTTATAACTACTTAAGGGGCTGATAAGTGGGTCATTTATACACTTGTACTTGGGTTTTTCAGTACCACGAACCTTTAAGTAGTCCCGGGTTGAGACCAAGGAGCTGGGAAAGGCCATGGCCGCGTCTCCCAGTCTGCTTGCCAAAGCTTCGATCATTGGAGTCAGTGCTGCGGAAGAGACGGCAACAGGCAAAGGCAGCTAGGTTGGCAACGGCACCTTCGGGTTTAGGGTTTATAAGGTTTAGGGTTTAGGGTTTAGGACCTACAAGTCAACACCCAGCTCTGTCCCCACAGATCCTTGCCGGTTGTGTCGTAAAGTCCGTCAATTCTGCACGCTGGGGCGTGTATCCGCGCGCAATCGAGCCGCCCGTTTCAACACGAAAGCCATGTCGGCAAGCCGACCAAGGCCGTGGTGGTTTGCTCGTCGTTCTAAACGTGTCATGCCTTGGTTTCACTATCTGGCCGCCCTACTTGGAGGTTCATGGTATTTACAAAACCAAAAAGGGAATAGTACTCATAACCCATACATACAGTCAAAATTGGTTATTAAGTACCACGAACCCCCAAGTAGATTCGTCCTTCGCAACTCCTCGAAGGCTAAGCTCGCCACTGAAACCTAAGGATCTGGACCCCCAAACGCAAACCATTCATTGACTATCCCTTCTTTGCATTCGAGAAAACCGAAATTCTTCCGGCCACGCTCCTCCCAAGTAAGTAAACATCACCCCCCCCCTTCCTGCATCACCACACCTTGCAGGATCACATCTTGAACATGAATTGTTCACCCCTCCGCCTCCTTTTTGCAATCCCTCGCACGTTACGAACTCTGAGTCGGGAATTGCCCGTAGCGTATTTTGTAGGGTGGTCTCCCTACCAAGCCAGACGTTGGGGCTACAGAACATCTTGCACACAGGCATCATTCTGCCCACCTCCGGCCTCTTCCTGGGCCTTGCCCTCATCCAGCGGTACCAGCACTCAACGCCCAACACCCTTTTCTTCCTTGTCCAGTATCCTTGGGGAATTCAAGGTCAACCTTTGGGATTATAAGGGGATTCTATTACCCCAAAAAGGTTAAAGGTCCCTAAACCTTAAACCCTAAACCCTAAACCCTAAACCCTAAACCCTAAACCCTAAACCCTAAACCTAAACCCTAAACCCTAAACCCTAAACCCACCCCACTAGTAAGTTTTTACCTGGAGCCCAGGATGCTTTGAGCACAAGAAGCATCCTGGGCACCTTAGAAATTCCATGGCTGCATGAAGGCCCTCGGCTGTGGGCTTTTCGCGTGTACCCAAAGAGCCCAATATCCCTTAATCAGGGACTATTGCCTAACTTATTTAGGGTTTAGGGTTTAGGGTTTAGGGTTTAGGGTTTAGGGTTTAGGGTTTATGGAATATTGCTCAATTGATTTAGGGGTCCTTAGTATGGTTTAAGGTCTATTCCTTCATTAAGGGGTATTGGGCTTCTCACGTGTAAGGCTCGCTTTCTGCCGTAAGCAGAAGCCAAGCTGAAAGGTCGCCCAGTATCTCCGCCATTTGGGATCGTTCTGCTGATAAGGTTTAACAGGGAGCCTAACGCTAAACCCTAAACCCTAAACCCTAAACCCTAAACCCTAAACCCTAAACCCTGAACCCTGAACCCAGAAGAAGGGATCTACTGGGCATTCCAGAGAAAATACGGTTTGCCTTGCAAACAGCGCTGAAGAAATCGGGGGGCCCTCCTAGCAGGCATGGTCTCACTGGCGTATTAAGCCTTTATATGGGTTTAAGGTTTGGGTTTAGGGTTTAGGGTTTAGGGTTTAGGGTCTAGGGTCTAGGGTCTAGGGTTTAGGGTTTAGGGTTTAGGGTTAGTAGGGTTAGTAGGGTTAGTAGGGTTTGACAGTGGGCTGCCGTGGTGCGAAGGTTGGACGGAGGAAATCGGACGGTAGATTGTAGATGCAGCTGGGCAGAGTGCAGCAGATATGGTAAAGCAAGATACCTTGTAGGGGACCCAAAGAGCCCAATACCCCTTAACTAGGGAATATTGCTTAATTCATATAGGGATCCTTAATATGGTTCAAGGTATATTCCTTCACTAAGGGGTATTGGGCTCTTTGGGGAATCCGCGCTGCGGCGACCACTCAACGCGTGAGAGCGGCTCAATTGGCATGTGCACTTGCACTTCCCCTCTTTAGGATGTGGTCTCCGTTCAGCTAACGCCACGGGTGGTCCGTTCGATCAAACAGCCCCATCTCGGGACAGTGGCCGTGCCGGCCCCGTAACTACTAATTGCTTAAGAACACCACCGAAAAAATTCTTCCTTATCAGGGTAAACATAGGGATTACTTGTTGTTTCTGTTTTTGGGGTTCTTAAGCAAATAGTAGGTAAAGGTGTTGGCCATCTGGGCCTCACCACGAAGTCCGGCGTTGTACTTGATCAAGCGCTTGTTGCTCGATCGTTGCCGCCCATGAGCGTGAGGACATATAGGAGTGCCACTTGATGAGTACATTCCTGGAGTCTGTGATGGACAATCCATGGTTTGGACCGTCTCATCGCCGGTCGCACAGCCATGTTGCCATGGAGTAGCTCAACCGATTTGGTCCCTTGGTGTCCCTTGCATGGTACAAGGCATCCTCTCCATTCACTGCGGCCTGTACTTCAGCCGCTGCACCCTCTACCCAGCAGGTAGCGGCAGCCGTGAATGCTTGCATCTCTACTCCACTTGGGCACGCCGTCGCACGTACGCTTGTCCGGAGTGATTCCCACTCATCAGCACATAAGCAACCACGGTCCATGAAGTAAGTCCGTGGATCAAGCGAGCCACCTCCCTTCTCTCACGGAGGCTCGCTAATGAAAGTGAGTGGCCGGGTTGGTGGAGTGGAGGCAGTTGGATGATGGGATGGCAGATTCAGCTGGGCAGAGCACAGCAGATACAGTACGGCACCCGAAGATTTCTTTCCCCCCCAAATCTTAGCTGCGATGGCCACTTAGAATGCGTGAGAGCGGCTCAATTGACATGTGCGGGGCTTGCAGGGTTGTCTGGGCTTATGGGGCTTAGAGGGCTGTCGGGCTTGCAGGGCTTGTCCTGCTTGTTGTGCTTGCCAACTTCGGATTTCGGATCTTTGGGCCGACCATGAGCTGAAGGGCCCCCTCGATCGAACATCATTAAAAAACAGCGTTATCAACATCACCCACGCCAGCACACGCTCTCAGCGGAAATGTCCGTCAGATGCACCGCTGAAGTGTTCGCCGGAAACTCGTGAAATCGTGATGTACAATAGCTTGCCAGGGCGCGCCCCACCTCCATGTTGCTTCCAACTTCACACCTGAACTCTAAACCCTATGTGACCCCTTAACCCTCACGCGGACTCCCAAACCTGACAGACACCCTAAACCCTTTTCCTAAACACTGATGCCTACACTCTATTACAAATCCACACCTCGTGGACAAACCATGTCCTGCAGGGAGTAGGATCCCCTTTTCATATAGACCCCAAACCTCATGCATGTTCACTTGCTGTGTGCCCCACCCATCCCGAAAAATTTTAAGGATACTGGGGCCCGGGGGGTTTGGGGGCCTCAACCTCGAAACCTCGTGAAGATGATGCTGACACTGATGATGCTGCTTGATGATGGTGCTGCGGCCCATGAACCTTTTCCAAACCTTATGATTACGATGATACTGATGATGATGACGATGATAGGGCCCATTGATGGTCCCACTCCTAAAACCCACAGTCTTGCGGAATCAAGTCTGACTGCCCCCCACCCACTCACCCCGAAAGATCACCTCGTTACATGTCCTCCCCCCAAGCCCTAAATCCTAAACCCTAAACCCTCAACTTCAACCTTAGAAGGGTCCAGCATAACGCGTATTCCCTGTGAAGCCCAACCGGACATCGAGGTTTCAGAGCTCCCCCGGAGAAGCCGTCCGACCACGGACAGTTTTAGGTGTCTTTGGGTTTAGGATTTCGTGTTTAGGGTTAACTAGTTCATGGTTGGGAAAGTATTAGAAATCTAGATTTCTATTCCTTGTTGAGTTTAAGTACCCTTAAAAATCTTAAATGTTACCCCACTACGACAAAGGTAAGGGTCTAGGGGTTTGCACAAGCCGTTGATGGAAAAAAACAGACGCCTGCATCCTGTCAGCGTCTGCCATGCAGCAGCCCGCTGTGAACACGTCTTTTAAACACAGAACCCAGCTCGCCATGCTCAGGCTCTATTTTTTGGGAGGCTTCCCTCAATTTGCTTTTGGAGTCCCCGTTCTCCTACAGAGTCTTCTATGTAGGGCACCTGAAGGGGTTATCATTTCGAGAATCCCCTATTCACACACACACACACACACACACACACACACACACACACACACACACACACACACACACACACACACACACACACACACACACACACACACACACACGCACACACGCACACGCGCACACGCACATGCACACGCGCAGAGTCTTTTTGCTTGATGTACCCCCCCATCGAACACTGCCCTGCCAGAACCCTAAACCTTAAACTGTATTTGGCTCACACCCTATTTTGGCAGAGGCTCTTGCTTTCTCCTTTTGGGTGCTCAGAATTCAGGGCATAGGTTCAAAGCTGCAAGTGGCCCTAAACCCTAAACCCTAAACCCTTAACCCCGCTAGGTTGTAAGACCTCCTGTCACTTAAAGCCTGGCAGCGAAGTATGACAAATCAAGCCGGGTTCGGCCGGCACGAATTCATCTTGGACAGATTCTGATGGCTCCCATGTAGTGCCCTGTAGAAAATACCAACTCTAGGGTAGCCCAGGAACCATCTTTTACTCGGAGTACCCTTTTTGGGGCTTGCTTACTGTATAGGGAACCTTGGACACAACAAAAAGGGAAAAAAGGGCACCCCGGGGCTGCCAAGAACTCAAAGCCTAAGCTAAAAGAGAACTACCTCGGAGCCCTCCGGAGGCCACTCGCTCCACAGCCCGTCTGGCAAATTCGGTGCGAGTTCCTCTCAAAGTGATTCTGGGGGAATCTAAGGCCAACCCTTAACCCTATTTTTTGAACCCAGACTCGTCCGAACCGCTAACCCTAAACCTCGAAAGGCAAACCCGACAGTGGTGGTTCAGGGCTTCTGCCTACGCTCTAGACCCAATAAC